ATCATAACAACATGATTTTAAACAGAAAAGATGGCAATACAATGTGCGAATATCATACAAATATTTTTGTAACAGTTACTAGAAATTTATATGGCATTTGAACGTTGCAAAATATCCGGCGGGCATTGTCCGGCAAGTTCGAGTTCAGCACATAAAATGTTTGCGGACGAGACACGTGATTTCCATTTAGGGAATTAATCTACTCAGTACCTTCAATTTGAGAAAAATGTTACAAAAATGTTGTTCAAGATAACAATTAATAAAGAAGCACGCTAAAAAATAAAACTTTAATATACCATTCTCACTAGTTAGAATAATTAGAATGCAACTTCTTCGAATGGAATAATTTCTTCGAATAAAAAGAAAAATATTTATTGCCAGTCTGAATTTGCTTTAGCACTAAAATATTTGACGACAAGATAACCGAATATTATTGCAACTCGAACGAACGGAATTCATACTTAAAAGAGGAGAATGGCATTCGTACTTAAAAGAACGCTGTAACTTCCATCCTTAACAGATTATTACTAGAAATCAGGAGTCAGATTCGTCCAGGTATGATAATGAGTTAAGTAGACCTAATTGGCATTAAATTTGGTGGAAAATAGTTCAGTTATCGCAGCATTAGCTCTGATCGAATTCATCTGGTTCAGCCGCGTCTCTGGATATTCGCGAACGGCAGCGCGCCGTGAAAATTGAACAATCAAATGGTTTTTCGAGAGCACCGAGCGCGGAATCGCTAAGCCGAAGAAGCGTGGCTTCGATCCCCCCGGATCGAGCGATTACCGGCTCGTTCCCGCGGTGATCGCCGGCGATCAGCGTCGGTTATCAAACTGATTCCGTTGATGAGAACGCGGCGGTGTTCGTCGTGCGGATCGCTTCCGGCGCGGCGGGGAGAAAACTCGTTGCCGAGAGAGGAAGGGAACGAGAAAGAGAGAAAGCTGGAAAGGGTGCAAGGTACACAGAGGAGAGAAGCAGCCAGGCCAGGGCCACACAAAGAGGAAGTTCCCCCGTTGAGGACCGGGAGTCTGGTCACGGCGACGCGTGTTACACACACATGTAACGATCACCGGCGCGGAGGCGTCGAGAAAGCAAAAAGGAAGCTCTCTCGGTCGTCGCCGACGTCGCCGTCAACGACGGAAGGGTGGCGAAAGAATAACACGAGCCACCCTCTGGCCGTGTTTCCCATCGGGACGCCGATAACTCCCCTTTAAGGGCGCAGCCGCCCTTTGGGAATTCGCTGTTTCGGAAGCGTTGCCGACTTCGCGTGCGCCGCGAACGATGCGCTTCCCGCGAAAACGCGCCGAGGAAGATCCTCGATGAAAGAATACTTTGCAGGTTTACTCAAAAATCGCCGGAAGCGGCTTCCTTTCTCGCGAGACTCTACTCCTTCCGCTTTGTTTCGGTTCTTAACACTGCCTGCAGGTTTCCGATAGCCCTTTTCAAGGCTAAACGCGACAGAATTCCTTGAAAATTGTCCTAAAGCGACTGCAATTTCATCCGTAATTCAACAAACTGTTTAGATCCAATTGATCTGAAATTGGTGTTTCGAAGAAAAATGTCGGATTTCTTTTACTATGCGCAGCGGAGTGTTGTGCGTACGCATCATTTTTTTTTAAATTAGAAATGAACTATATTTGTGCACTGACCGTTTTAAACAGTGCTGTACGAAACAAATAACGATAGAGGCACGTATCATTCCTGTTAGGAATGCAAATATGTTAATAGGCAAGAAAAGCATTCTTTAATAAGGGTATAAATTATATTCCTAACGAAATTTTTTAGAAGTGATTGTAAAGTTTAATCGAGGCCTTGGCAAATGGAAAAATGAAGAAACGAAATTTTAAAGAACGAATAGATGAACAGACATAGATATTATGAACACAATGAGCACTGTATAGGCGTTTAATCGAGCGATACAAATGTTAAGGGATGATTTTATTCGAATCTCGGTGTTCTGAACGTCGCGAGACTTTCAGTAGAATGCGATTCAACGGTGAAGGCGTCAGACAGAAAGAAAGGTGGATGAAAGTAGAATCGGTGTCTAGGTTAGGTGGCCCGAAAGTGGCGAAGTCGATCGAGGGGTTCCCACTTTATCAATCGTCTCCCGAGTCGAACGCCATTGGCAGACCGCAAAATGACTTATATCGAGGATACGTGACGAGGGGCGCGAAGAATGCTGGTAAATAATCGAATCGGCCCGTTCGAGAGAGACAGAGAGTCGAAAGGTTAAAGGGGAGGCGAGGTCGGACGTCGAAGGTCGGGGCAGAGTCAAGAGTGCCGAGAGGATGAAACGCCGTCTGATCCATCCGCCAAATTTATAAATAGCTTTCCACGAGACTCGTCGATATTTCGGTCGAGCGACGGTCAATCTCTTGATAGCTCGCATTGCAAAGGCAAGGAGCACCTTCTGCCCCGGAGAATCCTCCAGGTTGCCATTTTCAGGCAATTCTTTGCCATCGATTGATCGATGAGGCGAGAAACATCTTTCGAACAATTCTTTGGACGAGCTCGGTTAAAATAGAGGAAAATCCTTTTTAATGAATTTGGTATTCAAAGCGGCATTCGAGTGAGTGAAATGTCTTGTCTAATGAATTTAGCATCGCAAGATATGCCAGGACATGGGGACACAAAGGCCACAAAGGTCAAGTTCTCTGCAGCTAACATTTCGAAGGCAAGAAGCACCTTAATTTACTCGCTGGGGCAATTCTTTGGACAAGCTAGGTCAAAATAGAGAAAAATCCTTTTTAATGAATTTGTCATTCAAATTGTTGCTCCGAAGGTCATGCTCTCAGTTTCCTCCCAGAGATAATTCTTCGAACAAGCTAGGTCAAAATAAAGAAACCCCTTGTAACGAGTTTGGTATCACAAAGCAGACTATACAAATCGTAGCTGTCGATTTCATTGGGGTCAGACAGCGACCCTAAAAGGCAACCTCATTCTAACTAGCATTGTAAAGGCAAGAAGCACTTCAGTTCGATTTCCGGGACAATTCTTTGGACGAACTAATTCAAAATATAAAACGATCCATTTTCACGAGTTTAACATCAGAAAATGTACCATGTAATTCGAGACTCCCGATTTCAGTTGCCAAAGGGCAAACTGCCTGGCCACGCACCCTAGCCTAGCGCAACAGCGTACGGATAATCGGCAGACAGGGTGCGCGGTATTAAACCGAGAAATACGGTGCTCGTTACTCGCTATAGGGACCCGTCGAGGGGCCATTAATCCACGCGGAACGCCATGCGCCGGACAGTGGCAGATCTCACGAAGGTATTCGTGCCAGATCGTGTTCCACATTCCGCGAAAGAAACTGGCGAATACGTGCGCGAGTGCGCGAGCGCGCGCGCGCGCTACCAACCTTGGCGGTTCCATTACGATTCAGCACCGGCGACTATTTCACCAAGAATATTACCGCGTCTCGCGGTGAACAAGCTCGCCAGGTGCGACTCCTGTTTCGCCAGGAAAATCTCAGAGTCTCACGCTCGCGGAGCGGTTCGCGTGCAACGAGCACGTGCAACGTCGCGAAACGCGCCGCGGATTGCCACGAATCAGCTCCGGAGCCCCTTCATTAGCGAAAATTAGAGAACCGGATTTGGTGCACGGAGATCCATCACGTTCTCGAGTAATTGATGCAGAGTGTCTGCCAACTATTTTGGTTCGCAGGTTATTGTAAGTGGATTGCAAATTTGTTCGAAGTCTTGAGACATTTGAAGAGTTGTTCTGGTTGTGTAACTCTTAGCCCATTCACAGACAAGTGGACCAGAAAAACGACGTGTCTCGAAAGCAATTCGTGCTTAATTTGGCTGAACTAAGCAGATGTAAAAATAGCAGATGAAAACAAACGAAATTGCAAATGCGCTATTGCAATATTTATCCGGTTTAGAGGGATGTCATCGTATGCCATAAGTGTTACAGAGAAAGTATAACTAGCATCCCTTGGGTGATACACAATTTTTCTAGGATTTTAAACTGCTCGTGGATGAAAAACACGATGTCTAACACCAATGTCATCGACAAAATAACCGCGACGCCGCGGGATATTTTTCTATCCGCAGGTTCATTTGTGCACGTTCGCTGATAAGCGAGTATCGTTCATGATGTGCTCGATTCTGTTGTTCTCTCCGATATACATTGGCCAGGTCTCGTATTTTCTTCGTAACATCCCGGCATACCGGACCGCGAAGCTTGCAGGATTGTTTATCGCAAAGCGGTGCTTGTTTATCAAACACAACCTTGATTATCCCCGATTGAAATTCAATTCCTGATTATTTAGATTCGAGGGGAACAACAGAGTTAGCAGCGGCAGTCGTTTGTTTGCGTACGCGTCTAGCCGAGCCCGGTAGCCCGGCAAAACAAGACTTGCTGCAGAACAATAAGCCGAATGTTTACAAACGAATCAAGCAACGTCGATCCGCAGAACCAAAACAAAAGTTCCCAAATCGAAGTTGTGTACACCAGAACGCGTCCGGCGGACTATAGAACCGCGATAAAGGTTCAAGGCTACGCTGCCAACAGACACGCAGAGAGCAGTCACGGAACCGCCGGCATCGATCCCCGGAGGATCGAGGGAAAGTTTTCGGGCATCGATCCGAACTTCCGGCACAGTGCACGGTCAGGATTGCTCGTTAAGGGGTTAACGTCGACGGAACGCGCGACACAGGGGGGGAACCGTGTTCCCGGACAAAAGCAGAGCGAAAGGTTAAACAGCGAGCGAGGGGTCAAAGTTGGCTTTATGCGGGGTGTCGGGTGCATCCACCCCTCGGCTCGGTTCAAAACAAGCCGCGAGGTCGCGCGCAAATAAAAGGAAGCAAAAGAGAGGGAGCTGGAGAAAATACAAAGAGAGAAGGCCAAAGGACGAGGAGAAGGAGGAGGAGGCGGCGGAGGAGGTGTGGGATGAGGGGACGGAGGTGGAGCAGAGCGAGAGAGCCGGTGCTCGATGATCGCGCAGCGTTGGAAAAGCACGTGCCGCGGTGCGGCCGCTGGTTGCCGACACTTACCCCACGTTCAACGACCCCTGGGCTGCGGGAGCGAGAGTGAGGCGGGAGCGAGATCAGCGTCGAGGAATCGGAGCCCCTCGGGCGGGCAGCGGGTCTCTCCCTTATCGCAGCATGCGAGCAGGAGCAGCGGAGGAGGCCGTCCAGCCGGGAGCAGCCGAGGAGGAGCACGAGAAGGAGCCGGAGAAGTCGCGCACCCCCATGACGTCGCGCCGGGGCTGTTCTCCCCGAGAGGACAGAGTTCTCTCCCCGAGAGAACGGAGTTCTGCCCGTCGTCGGAGAGACAGTGAGAGAGTGAGGGGGGGGGGGGAAGAGAGAGACTGCGGTCCACGATTTCGCGAGTTGGAAAAGGCTGGCCTAGCAAGACGCACTAGACGCAAGATGGCGACCGCTCGGTCCTCTCCTCCCGGCGGTGTCCCGCTGCGGGCGGCAGGGGCAGGAGGAACAGGAGCAGGAGGAGGAGGACGTGCCGGAGGTGGAGGAGGCAGCGGTGACGGCGGTGGTGCTGTCGGTCCCGGTGAGGATGCTGATCACTGCCCTGCTGTTGACGATGATGCTGACGAGGATGACGGTCGATCGGGTGCGGCGACCGACGATGGTCTCTGCGCGGCTGTTTCGCGGCGAACAGGCGAGGCGTTTCGCTGGCGAAAAGCGCATCGGCGGCGCGAAAGGGAGGACCGGCGGCTCCGAAGCGAGACCCAGCCAGCGTGGAGTGCATCGCGCGACTGTCACGGTGCGGGCGGGGACCGCGGGGGTGGCCGGCTGTGTATTCCGGCGAGCCAGGTGGCGCCAGCTTAGCCAGCCGCCGGTTCGGTTCGGCTTTCAGGATGTGCCGCTACCGCCGCCGACGCCGCCAACGCCGCCAACGCCGCCAACGCCGCCGATGCCAACGCCAACGCCAACGCCAATGCCGACCCAGGGGTAGGTAGTCGCCGGAGAGCCTGGTGGTGGATGTTCGTCGCTTGGCAACCACGAGAGATCGACCGAGTGTGCCAACCGCCCTTTGCTCCTCCCGTCCTCTCCTCGCCCGATCCTATCCTCTCTCTGTTTCGCTTTCTACCATCCCGTCTATCCCTTTTTCGCCCCGGAGGAGGGTGGGTCACCACCCTCGCTCCTCTGTTTCCTAGCGATGGGAATGATGCCCTCGCGACCGGCATCCACAAGCACCCTGAATCTATTCATTTCTCCGGGTATTTATGGACCCGTGGTAGCCTACTGGCTATGCTGCCAGGCCAATCGAACCGTATGGAGCCGATGTGAAAACGCTTTTTCTAGTCGGAGGGCCGATTAGGCGCCGGTTCGCCGAGGCAGAATCGGAGCCTCCGTTCCTTGCCGTACCTGGGCGTTATGGGGCTGTTAGATAAGGCGGTAGACTGCCACCTTTATGGCTGAGATAGACTTTACGTGCACCAAGAATCTTAATCCGAGGATCTCTGTGATTCTCCGCTCGGGATACTTGTATTTCGATGGTGCGATCGTATAACGAATCAAAATGAGAACTCAGGGGTTCGTTGCGTCTGTGTTTCAAGTGGGTTCACATGTTTTTCTTAAACTGTAGACTACGGTATCCAGGCAAATTCCAAACGAGTGCCGAACAATCACGATAAAATACTCTTACTTTATCAGAACATTTGGGTTCCAGTCCCCAATGAGAATTTAGGGGATGTTTTCTTCCTTCTTGTTTATTATAGTTCGGCTTATATCCCTTTCTCAACCTGTGGACCATGGTGACCAGATCTATTTTCACCCAGGGTCAAACAACGCGACACAATATTTCCATGTTAACGTTAGTACAACACCTAATTTTTAGTTCATAACTATTCGCTATTACTAGATCGTTTTTATTTGATCTCATCTCGTACATCCATCAGACACCGTACTATTTTACAACAAGAGAGTCGCATCATATTATACGGCGACAATGGTCAAAATGATCCAAAAGGATCCTTTTTTAGATTGGGGCAATCCAAAAGGATTTTTAGGAATGTTAACATCTTCTGCAAACATTTGGATTTCTTTCATACCCAAAAGTGTTTTGAACCGAAAACTTGTAATTTATCTTTTGTTATCCAAACAGATTTATTCCCGTAAACGAATAAATATCGAATATCCAAAGTCCAAGTAGATAGAATGTCAAGTAACCGCGACAGAAATTAATCAAACAATTACGAAGAGACGAAAGACCCATGTGGGCGGTTTCTCCCCTCCACTTCCGACGTCCGGGGAATAACTTTCGGTTAACGAGACGAGCAATAAAGGAGTTCCAAAGGCCCGGAGGATGCAACGACAACTGGTGCATCAGCAGGATGCACTGGAGCCCTCCGGGGTGTCGAATTAATACACTGCTCGCGAGAACGTCCCGCGGAGATCATCGGAGATCGCCGGGGATCTTTTTCCATTGGATCGAGCATCGGCAAAGACGCAACCGGTAGACGCAGCCGACCGACCGATTCGGTCGCTCGCTGGCCCTTTGTGCTGGCAGCGTGTTCCTTAACCTCGGCGAATTGACGAGATAGCTTTGAATACTACCTCTCCCACCCTTCTTGCTCGATCTCTCCTCTCCATTCACCTTTCGTCTGGAATCGCGCCGATCGATCCGCCATCGCGCCCTGCCACAAATATTTGTATCTCCCTGATTCGATGGCAGATGTAATGAGACCGATACGCCGGTCGGTCCACTGTGCCGGTAATAAATATCAATTTCAACTAGATACTAGTCGGCTATCGATAATCGATTCGGTGGTACCGGTCGCTCCGCCGTTTCCACGTCCTCGCGCGCGTTGCGCTTTGTTTCGGTACCTTCGTCGAAAAACGATTAGCGGAGCTGCAGCGTCTGGGGGGACCGGGCTCGCTGGCAGACCGGATGGAAGATTTATGAGTGAACAACCAACCGGTCGGTTAATGAGTGATGATCCTCGATTCGGCGGACCGGTCACCAATGTTCGCAATCTTCTTTCTCTTCGCGTAACACGGGTACGCCGGGACTCGGTACAGGATCATCCTAGTCTGCATCCTTCGTGCGTCATGCCAAGGGGATACATCACCACGTGATCATTCTTGTAAACAAAATGTTTCTCGTCGCCGTAAAATATTATCCGTCGACGTTGAAGCCTGCTGTTCATCGATGAACAACTGCAGAAATTAATTGTAACAACTTGGTTAACCTCGTGCGCTACAATACAGTAATGTCTCTCTAATTGACGCTCAGATGGTCCACAAAAATGGACAATTTGGGAAAAGGAGATACGATTATTCGAGCCTTGCGGTTCGTTTTTATGGTTTCGAATTGTCAACAACTATAAAAACGAGCCGCGAGGCTCGAATAATCGTATCTCCTCTTCCCAAATTGCCCATTTTTGTGCACAATCGGAGCGTCAGTTAGGGAGACATTACTGTATCGTGTCAGTTTTGTCACAAAGATTTCAAGCGAAATTCATAAAACTTTCATTCATCACTTTCTTTTGAAACGAAACAAAAATCTAATTCTTCGTTTGCCAATATTTGTTCGTTAAATTAAAACGATGCCGTAGAATCAATATTAACTTCCTTCTTCTCGTAACGAAACTTTTAACCACGAAAATGTTCGAACTAACAAAGCTTGAATAAGCTTTTAAAGAATTCGCAGGGCAAAGCACTACCTTGTTCTTTTTACCAATGAAACTTTTTGACATTAATGATCTTNACGTCCCGCGGAGATCATCGGAGATCGCCGGGGATCTTTTTCCATTGGATCGAGCATCGGCAAAGACGCAACCGGTAGACGCAGCCGACCGACCGATTCGGTCGCTCGCTGGCCCTTTGTGCTGGCAGCGTGTTCCTTAACCTCGGCGAATTGACGAGATAGCTTTGAATACTACCTCTCCCACCCTTCTTGCTCGATCTCTCCTCTCCATTCACCTTTCGTCTGGAATCGCGCCGATCGATCCGCCATCGCGCCCTGCCACAAATATTTGTATCTCCCTGATTCGATGGCAGATGTAATGAGACCGATACGCCGGTCGGTCCACTGTGCCGGTAATAAATATCAATTTCAACTAGATACTAGTCGGCTATCGATAATCGATTCGGTGGTACCGGTCGCTCCGCCGTTTCCACGTCCTCGCGCGCGTTGCGCTTTGTTTCGGTACCTTCGTCGAAAAACGATTAGCGGAGCTGCAGCGTCTGGGGGGACCGGGCTCGCTGGCAGACCGGATGGAAGATTTATGAGTGAACAACCAACCGGTCGGTTAATGAGTGATGATCCTCGATTCGGCGGACCGGTCACCAATGTTCGCAATCTTCTTTCTCTTCGCGTAACACGGGTACGCCGGGACTCGGTACAGGATCATCCTAGTCTGCATCCTTCGTGCGTCATGCCAAGGGGATACATCACCACGTGATCATTCTTGTAAACAAAATGTTTCTCGTCGCCGTAAAATATTATCCGTCGACGTTGAAGCCTGCTGTTCATCGATGAACAACTGCAGAAATTAATTGTAACAACTTGGTTAACCTCGTGCGCTACAATACAGTAATGTCTCTCTAATTGACGCTCAGATGGTCCACAAAAATGGACAATTTGGGAAAAGGAGATACGATTATTCGAGCCTTGCGGTTCGTTTTTATGGTTTCGAATTGTCAACAACTATAAAAACGAGCCGCGAGGCTCGAATAATCGTATCTCCTCTTCCCAAATTGCCCATTTTTGTGCACAATCGGAGCGTCAGTTAGGGAGACATTACTGTATCGTGTCAGTTTTGTCACAAAGATTTCAAGCGAAATTCATAAAACTTTCATTCATCACTTTCTTTTGAAACGAAACAAAAATCTAATTCTTCGTTTGCCAATATTTGTTCGTTAAATTAAAACGATGCCGTAGAATCAATATTAACTTCCTTCTTCTCGTAACGAAACTTTTAACCACGAAAATGTTCGAACTAACAAAGCTTGAATAAGCTTTTAAAGAATTCGCAGGGCAAAGCACTACCTTGTTCTTTTTACCAATGAAACTTTTTGACATTAATGATCTTCTACGAGGAAGACGAAGTTCATATTTCAGATTATGCGGATATTTGTGCGAGATAAAAATTGAATATCTCAATTGCAACGAACTAAAGTAAAATCGTAATTTGTATTCTTTCTCAATATGTCTCGTAGGTTGAAAATAATGTAACAGCATTCTTAAGGACTTATGGTCTTTATACTCTGTTCTTTTCCATCCATTTTTCTCATATATGCATAAAATCCGCAGTCTAGTGATTAGCATACACATTTAATGGATGCCGTCTAAAATCGTGACGAATCCGACTCGATATTCTAAGCCACTTCAGGAACGTTCCCCGCTGTCGAAACGTCAATCGGCCACTCGTCCCGTTAGCCTCTGGGCCAGTGAAAGTGGAAACGCGCAAGCTCCCGTGTCCTTTTTCGAGTTCGAGCACTCGTAACTCCTCGAAAAAATGTTAGGGCCGCGGGAGACGGGTTTCGATCGCGCCCCGCCCGGCTTCCGCATTAATTAAAAGCCGGCTGACCTAATTAGCTCGTTCGCGGAGTGGCTGCCCGCGGTTAGGCAGCACAATGGAACACCCTTCCCGGCGATCGACCCTTTCACCCTGAGGAATAATCCGACCGGAAACGTTGATGTCCTCCTGTTCGCGCCGTCGTCACGTCTCCGAGCAAGTTCTTCGGGATCTCCTTTATTATGTGCGGACGTTTCTGCAAAGCGAACGATATCCGAGT